TTATTTTCTATGTTTGTATTTAGTCACTTTTCTGCCATGTAAACAAGGTAACGAGGGTTTACACAGCAAGGTAGACTTTGGGTGGCTTGGAATAGTTGAGATGCTGGTTCTGGGTGTCTTGGCAACTGAACAGCACAGTACTACTGTCTAAGAATGGCACCAGACACAAGAGCTGAACCAGGACAGTATTCCTGGGACACCCAGGTATGATAATCAATCATCCAGATATAGTAGAAGCTTAGAAAGTCATAGGATTGAGCAGCTGGATCTGATCCCAAAGACCGGTCTGTCAAGCCAATGAGAAAGGGCAGGTTAGGACAATAGTAATCAGGTAAATTAGTATTTAAGGTTTTATGTCATACTATCTCTGGCATATCTGCATATCAACAGACAACTTTTCCTGCAAAAAAGGTACAGAGGTTTGGCACATGTCTATATGTGTTTCTTTTAGCTAGCTGAACATTGTAACTTGTAACATTGCCCTCCATGCTCCTGCATCAGTCTCTCTATCATGTCCATAAGCTTGCTGAGCTGGGCATCTCGGTCTTCTCCTGCTGCTTTGTTGCTGAAAGCACAGTATTGATTCCCACATGCTTGAATGAGCTGCTGAAGATCAGCTTTACCTAAGGCTCCTATGTATTCACTCAAGGGGTCATCTGCCAATTCTGCTTTCCGGGTGAATAAGACAATTGTGTGCTTCAGGGCTGCTTCTCCAAATATCTCCTCTACTTTCTCCACTGACTTCTTGTCCTCTTCAGAGTAGTAGCTCAACTGTACTACCAACACCAGAGCATGGGGGCCTGGGAAGGAGAGCTGGATGCAATGACTGATCTCTTGTGAAGGATCTCTGTTAGGGTCTGTTGTATCATAAAAGGCAGGAGTACCACAACCTTCTTCCCTTTCCAGGTGCATCTTGCCTTGGCACAAGTCTCAGTGACTGACTTTGCACTGGCTCTAGAATTAAACACCCTCTTGCCAAGGATGGTGTTTCCAGTGGTGCTTTTCCCTGCTCCAGTTTTCCCCACAAGGATGATTCTCAGCTCTGATGCTCCAATGTGGCAGTTACCTTCTCCTGGATCAGCTGGAAACAAGTTTGACAGATTCAGAGATTCATAGCAAGAAAACAGAGGTAGGAGGACTCGAACTGGGTGAATATTTCCCAGGGAGTAACTAGGAATAATGGGTGCAAACTAATGGAGAGTAGATTTAGGTTAGACATTAGAAATAATTTTTTTACAATTAGGGTGGCCAGAGTCTGGAATGGGCTTCCAAGAGAGGTGGTGCTATCACTTAACTTGGAGGTCTTCAAGAAGAAGCTTGACAATCACCTAGCTGAGGCTGTCTGACCTCAGTCCTCTTTCCTGCCAGGGGCAGGGGGTCAGACACGATGATCCATTGGGTCCCTTCTGACTCCATAATCTATGAACCCAGTGATATTCCAGTTGCTTAGGTAACAGAGGGTGTTTTACTTCAGAGCAGTAGAAAAGGACTGTGAAAATGCAGTTTTACAGTGAAATTCCACTCTTCATGCACAAGTCATAAGAAACTAGAGCTTGTAGAAAAAGGCAACTGGGGATGGGGGGCTTAAAATCCTTATTCAAGAACTCTAGATTGAGTCTTCTCTATCATATGAAGACTAAGTCAGTGCTTCCTTCTATGCCATCCTGTTCCAAGCTAGCATGAAGGCCAGCTGGATGGTATGCAAGTACCATGTGGCTGTTCAGTCTAAAAACTAAATTTTTGTGTGTATTGCATAAGCATATTGTGGATCTGTGTTGCCCAGAGGAGTTTTTTGGGTTGTCCTTAAAGTAGATTCAACAGTGACTATCCTACAGAGATGCTAATTGATTCATAGATCCATGTACTATTTCTCATAAAGATTTCTTAGTGTTATTTACCCATGTAATATAGATGCATATGCAGCACATTGTGCCATTTGCATGGATTTTAGGTACCAATTCTGCCTTTGCTATTAAACTCATTCTTTTCAGCATGCTCTGAAAGAATCAGCTATGGCCACTTATGGTCTGTGGTAGTTCTAGTTTGCCTGAGAAGGCATGTGACTTTGTGTAAGCCTCTGAAAGTATGTGAAAAGATTATGCAACATTAAGTGCACAATCCCTCTGGGTTCATTACATGTTTGTGTGCGTGTGTGTGTGTAAAGAGAGAGAAAAAGAGAGAGAGAGAGAGAGAGAGAGAGAGAGAGAGAGAGAGTGACTATTGGATTCACTGACCAGTAGCACCTAGTGCGGTGTATGTGGTATTAAATTTGTCTCAGTGAATTATAAAAAATAAACAGAATGTCCAAATGTATCTTTTTACCACAAGAACAAATACAATAACACATGGATAACAAACAATAAATTAAAACCTTACAAAGAAAAGATTAAAAATCACAATATTTATATACACTCTGTCTCAGCACAGATTGATTCCATCTCCTCTGGAGCCCCTGGATAGATCCAATGTTCTTGTGTTACAGTTTATACAAGTAGGACACATGCCTGTCTGGCTGAGAAAGAAGTCATCCAAATTCACTTCAACCTCCTTCATTTCCTGGGACACTGGAGACATTTGCCAGCTGTCTGCCAGTAGGAGCCAAAGCTAACCAAACCCTGATCACCTAGCCTACTACTTGCTCACATTGGCAGCTGTACTGAGCTGTTATCATTCAATAGGATAGTCTGCTTTAGTCAACCAGACCCTGCCCCTGTTCACACAGATCTGTCAAAACATACCCCATTGGGCCCAAACTGCCATACATACTTCAACCTGGTTGCTAGGATAATGTATTCCCTTTAACCTGAATGGTTTAATTCTCTTTGATGCAACATAGCCACCAGCCACCACCATTTCCCCACTGCGCATATTCGAGAGGGTCTCACTGACCTTCCAAAGACCACTGTCCCAGCCACCAGCAGAGGGTTTGGGATTGATTGAGAGTGTGGTTGAGGGGTAAAAAAGATAAGAAAGGTTTATTGACTTAACAAAAACACAACTACACATAGTAACAAGACAAACAATGACAGACAAGAATAATTCACATCAGCAACTTATTGGCAGTCCCCTCTGATGCCTGATGTATGACAAGTTTCTCTTTCCACAAAGTTTAGCCAAGTTAGGTGTTCCTGATCAGCACTGTCCGAGAGGTACTGGGAAGGACCCTGGTATGCAGTCCTTGGGCACCTCGAGATCCACGGGGCCACTGATCTAGGTCAACAGCTAATTAATCCTTTTCACAGAGCTGTATCTTCCTTCTGAATGATTTCCGTATGTTTCAGCCAATTTATAACTTCTGACCTGTGCTGATAACTTACAGCAATTCAGATTCTTTTTACTTCAACTGTCCTTAGACTGACCAATAGCAGTACAAGCCTTGCATTTCTTTGATAAGGTTAATTTTAACTATGCCACAGGGTCTTACTACTTCAAGGTTTTGCTAAATTTACTAGGCCTTACTTTATACAAGGCCTTACTACATCTTAAACTTTAATTAGACTCTTAGCAACAACACGTAGCTTAATATTTAAACAAATACAGAAAAACACTTCGTCTAATCTTTGTAGA